TCAAAATTCCATTAATTCACGGCCCATGGCCCCCCCCTGAAAAACTGCCTAGATCCGCCACTGTCTAAGTGTTTGATTCGTTAAAAAGACATATTATAACACATTACAAAAAAATAATGGGAATCATCTCTTGCTGGAGTTTCCAAAACATTCAGAATTCAAAAAATTTCTTACAGGAAGGTGCAATGCCCTAGAAGTGTTAGCTCCTATAAATTTGCATTCGAAGGTAGGTACCAATCAATTTTAGGATTTCAAGCCATCATATCGAGGATATCAAACAATATATTCAAATGCATCTTACCAAAATGCATGTTCTGCAATGGTCAACATTAATTTTCTTTTGTGAAAACCTTTTGAGATAACCTGTTCCGTCCAGAATTGCAGAAATTGAAAAGCTAAAATTATGCAATAACTGTTCCAATCCAAATCATCTAGTGGGAACTTGTAGAAGCGCTGGTAGATGTAATATGCACTTTTGCACCAAGATGCAATTCAGACGAATAGTTTAATGGGGGAGACCACTGATTTTTCAAAATGACATTATCGTGAACTCTATACTGAAAAACTACCAGCGAATTAATTTTGAATTTTGTCATTCATGCTAAGACGATGGAAAAAATAAATTTTGTCCATTTCAAAACACACAATTCCTGCGCCATTTGAAATTTTGTCAATTCATTGCTGTGACTGGTGCGACGTCTTATTCCCAACACGCCTATTGTCCTTGAACTGACCAATCACGCTGCAACACTGCAGAATGACTGCAGAGAGAGATAGCTACAGTTCGGGACTAATACGTCACGACTCCATCATCATATTTGGCTGTTTGAAATATCGAATGAAATATGCTGATTTCAAAACGATATAGATTCGATTCCCTTCAACTTTAACTCATAATATTGATTGTACATCAAACGTAAATCATCATTCGTCGATTGAAAGAGGTTCGCACGGATTTCTTCTCTCAGTGGTCTTCCCCATTACATCAGAAGAAAATCATAACGAAACCGTTTCAACTATTTCAGCTCACTATGTCGATAACGAGAATCAGTATATATTATTAGCAACGGAAATTTTTTGGTCAAGTAGAAATCCAATGAAATCAAATAATTTGTGGTCACATGATTGAACACAACCAATCAATCCAACATTATACTGATAATTGCATTCAGTGCAATTATCAATCACTATTACGACACCAGGATGATGAACGAACGACAACTTCATTCAAAATAAATTTCGAAATGTCACGCTTTGGCAATGCGAATTTTCAAAGTATAAATGCGCAAATCAAGGGAAATATTCCCAAAAATACAACCTACAGTCACAAATATATTTGGGGAATGTTCATGGAATTTTGCTGCGAACGAGAATATGAATTGAATGAACATAGAAGCTTAGAAGAATTGGCGTTGATACTAAAAGATTGGGCAGTCAATATGAGAAAGAAAAACGGGACCGAATATAAAGAAGCGACGGTGAAGACAATGTGGAACGTTTCGTGCAAAATTTTGCAAGAAAAATATTATAATGACTATAATATTATGATTGACCCGTTTAACAATAAAGTATTCAAACCAGCCCGGGATGCCCGCGATGCAATCAGGAAGTAACTACAAGCAGATCCATGTAAACGTAAGTCCAGTTCAGTTTCGTTAAGTTTGTCTGAAGTTAACAAAATAGTATTGCTATGGGATGAAAATACTCCTGAAGGTCTCATGCGTAAATTTTACCATATTGCTGCTGTCGAATTAGCGTGGCGAGGAGGAGAGGCAGTTGCTTGTCTGGTGGATTTCTTTCAATGCGAGAAAAATAACGATGACTCTCCAACAAATCGCATTGAATACAATCCGGTATTCAGTAAAACGTGCCAAGGTGGTTTTATAAGCTGTACTAGTAGTAAATGGTTGGTTTCCAATAGTGAAATACACAGCTGCCCAGTACGTCTTTTCCAGAAACTGATATCAAAACTAGGCGACAATATTACCTCAACACGACTGTTCTTGAAACCAAATCGACACTGGAAAAATGAAACTGACAAATGGTACGATAATGTACAGGGTGGGCAAAATTGGGCGTTTTCGCCGTCCATCTCAATAACTAGAGGAGTTATCGAAAAACCGATATACATGTTCCGGGTTCGATTTTGGAGAAACCTCGAATGGCACAATCAAAATTTCGATATCTTCATTCGTTTTAGAGATACAGGGAGAAATTGAAAATTTGCCGATTTCGATTTTATTTTCTGACTACTTTACGGTGAGAGGTATCAAAAAATTTCAAACGTATATTTATACAGTGTGATGCGTGGAATCCATTGGCATCATCAGAAATTTTATACAGGGTGACGTTGAAAAGATACGGCAGACAATTATGTTTTTTCTAATGGAACACCCCGTATATTTTGGCACAGTTGAATAGTCCCAGGCGTTCTCATTACAAATATATATATAACCCTACCTTTTCCTTCCACAATTTCAGATATATTCGCAACAATATATTCAGTGTGTCACATTTCTTATGGTTACACCCCCGTATCTTAATAATGTAATATGTAGTTATCTATTATCCTGTTATTAATGTCCATATCATTTGTTCATTCAACTACTAATTACCTACCACTCTTGTATGGGCAAAAATGTTCCATCTGAAATAGAAGTATGTTTTATTGGTTGTAATTTATCGATATCTACTCCATTCTGAACTCTTGTACTACGAACATTATTCAACTATTGAACGTATAAATACTTTCATCTCAGTTTAATTATCAACATTTCATAGTAATAGTATATGTACTTCGTTGGTATAGATGTTGATACCAAGTGTCCATCGACTTCCATCGAGGTCCTTTCAGCCCTACCATTCCAAATTACAAAAATAAATAATTCTCTAATTCATTTATCGTACCCTTTTTGCCCACTCGAGGAGACGCTATGCTAAACATATGATTTACTTCAAAATCGTAATTGGTTATGTCTCACTGGCACTGCTTGTCGAATGTCTGTACTCTTAAATATAAGAAAACGTACTCTTTACATAATATGAAAACGTCAAAACAGCAGTGTGATGAATGCGACAGGCGAGGATGATCTTAGAATGTTAGTTAGAATTATTTTGTTTTCTTTTCTTGATATTTTTGTGAACTCTAAGCATTACGTTGTTGCAAGGGTCACAAAATAGTTTTGGTTTAAATAAAATATCGATCATTATTAGGAATATTAGGATATTATTATTGGCACTGAAGCATCCTGCAAAATATGTACTTGAGTATTCAAGTAATTATTAGGAACCAGGTGGAACCATTGTCTTCTGAAAATGTGAATACAAAGGGAATGATTCATGGATTTGAATCAGAATCATGAGGGGAATTCAAAAATGTGAAATACCAGGTGCCCCATTGAAAATAACAAAGATGGCATAACTTCCTGAAAAACTGGAAGCTTTACAATAACGAAAATACTTTAGTTGGATTTTCCATATTTTCTTCACCGTCTCTACGAATTTTCAGAATCGTCCTACTATTAGTTCTCCATATATAGATCGTGTTCACTCATGAAGTAATGCCCTGTATAGCTAAAACATGTCTAGAAACTAGAAAATGTATGATTTATTACATATTTTCAATATATCATATGACAAGTTTTAACTGGCTCCAGTTTTGAAACACTGCAATATACAGGGTGTCCCAAAATGGCTGGGACACATAAAAAACACAGAAAGTGAATTTTAGAACATTCAGTAATCAAAGAAAACTAGAAGAAATTGTAGGGTTGAAACTACCCTCACCACCTCACATTTTTTTTAGAACATTCTTAAGGGTGGTAATACGGTTCTTAAATTTTTTTACGAGAAGACAGATTGATTATTTTCATTTTGTTACTCTTTAAAAAACTTCGTACTCCTCATATTTCCTAGGGACAAATATGTTTTATTTAATAATGCAGACAGATATTCCCAGTACGAGTTTAATTATATTGTGATACAAAATTTAGTTGATAGTGGAAACAAAGGCAGAACGTTTCTTATAATAAATGTTCAATATGACGGACACCTTTACAGACGTAAAGCATTAAAATGCATCAGTGTTTTTTCATGTAAACTTTGAACTCTTCTCACGGACAAACGGTACATTTTGGTATACAAATAAATTGGGTCCAATCAACTTATTTTGACCTTTATTGGCATAACGTTTCCAATGTATTTTCTAAATATCTGAATTTTTCATAATTGTTTTTGTTTACTTGTGCATTCGCCCAGCACAGTGAGATAAATGCACATCCACTCAAGAGTTAAGTTCATTTGAGTTTATGATTTCATCATGAACAACAAGCACATACTATGTATAATATTATTATTCTTGATTATTCTTAAAATGAGAGAACAAACCTAATTACTGAACTTCAACAATAATTGAGTACCACTTAACCATTTCTGATGCGGCATCTCTCTTCCATACGTATCAAAGAGATACAGAAGCATTTTATGTTGCATAGTTATCTGTCACATTACTCACATCGTTCTCAATCATTGTGGAAGACGAATGTAGTTTGTATAAAAATCCCAGTAGTTTCTAAGTGATATCATTATCATAATGCATACTGAAGAACCCACCAGGATTCCTTATCAATTCATCACAGATTCATTGATATTGATGTTTGTATATAAAAAAAATATCAGACAGATTAAAATTGAATGAGAAAAACTCGGGAAATTATAAAAACTTTCCAATAAAATATCTGTTTCGAATCGAAGTTTTGTAAAGGGAATTCAAAAACCAAGTATGCACGAATGTTGTATAAAATATTCATAATACATGTACTTCCTCAAGCAAAACGATAGCCATTTTTCACATCAGTGAATAATATCGGTGAATAACCATTATTCACTGGTCTAGCAGAGTTCCTAGGGTACGCGATATAACTAGAGCAGTTGTCCGGAAAAGTGACTCTTTCAACACTAAAACGAGTGCGGAAAAGTGGACTTTTCCGCACGCTAGTAGAAAAAAAAACCGTTTACGAATGCAGAAGTTACAGTGGTGGCCCTTTACCCTGTGTTGCTAAACTTATAAGAGATGGTCTGTTTTGAGTTAGTAGTGGGATATAGTATTTGTTATTCCTGAAAAATATCAAATTTTTACTTAGCTTTGGACGTTTCGGGAACGAATCTGCTCCCGTTCTCAACATGAGAAATGGAAATTTGAATAGCAAATTCGTATTGAAATATGAAAATGGTAAATTCAAGATTAATTAATGAAAACATCCTGTAACTCATTTGATTGCCAACGTTACCAATTGTCACTGAGAACTGAGAAGTGTCAAAACAAACGAATTTGCTATTCAAATATCCATTGTGTTGACAACGGGAGCAGCTAAAGCTATATACCTAGAACTATATACCTTTATTTCTCTTCTCCAATCTTTTTTCAATACAAATTGTCACTGCCAAGCTAGTGAATGTTTCTTTTAGCCTCTCTGATAGGAAAATCATCTGATTTGTCGTTACTACACGTATATTGAAATAATATACATATTTTCATTTTATAGAAACGAGGAGAAAATCCCGAAAAATCTGGAACAATGAATGTACCACCTCCTCGATTAACCTACAGACAGTATTTATATTATTTGTCTCATCATCATTGTCGTTTTTGCCAATATCTTAGATCGAAAACTTGCGAACAAGGAGAAGAAGAGAAAAACTTTTTCTCATTGCTGGATGGACCTGTCTATGTCATATTATAGCACTGACTCAAACTTACCAAAATCGAACGACTTAAAATCTCTGCCAACAAAAGTTGCCATCCCAAATGCGTTCGGCCGTCTTAAAATTGAGATGACCAGTCTACTGGTACAAAGTCAATGATATCGACATCAGATCACCCTAATAAATCGAATTTGAAAATGATGACCCGTTCAACAGATTTATGAAATATGTCTAAACAATTTATGATATTTCGTCAATTCAATACTGAGCCAATAAGTCATCAATTTCCAAAATCAATTTAGAAAAAAGTGGCCTTTCATGGGGATTTGCTTGCCAACAAGGGTAAATCATCCGAATATACACTACTTTTGGGCAATCAGGTGGACAAGGGAACCTACGAAAAAAAAAAGGAACATCACTCAAAATAGTTTGGTGGATGCCACCATAGGTGGAAATAACGTGTAGTTGTAGGTTTCATTGATTTAATCAGCGTAATCACGAAAGATTCAAATATAATTATTATTTTTCTTAATCGCTGTTCTAGTCAATTTCAATTTTACCCCTAGAGTCTAGAGGATTGAGAAATGAAATAAGGATACAATCAAACTTGATGTCACACTTTCCGATACTAATATGCTTGTAATAAGTTACTTAACCGCACTAGTGCTGTGAAGAGGTAGTTCACACACTGGTGCGGTATAGTGACACATGTTGATACGAGCTACCTTTTAGATTTTATTTCAAATTATGTAAAAATTGTTCATTTAATTTTATAATGGGATATAGGACAAAATACTTGCTATAAAAATGAAATTTCTTTAGCTACTTAAACAGGGGTATTCCGGATCTCTCGTATATTGTCTCTCCTGGTTCACGAAATTGACAGTTCGTATGTAATCTACATACATGAAGACCTTCTAAACTCTACCTTCGGACGAACGTTAAACTTCAAACGCCAAAGTTATGGAATAACTTTTTTATGTAATATTGACTTGAAACTTGAAGTGCCATTATGTTAAATGGGCAAGGAATCATGGTAGGTAAATTTGAATACTGGGAATCGATTTACTTCATTCGAATATTATCATTCGTTTTTTTATCGATGTTCTTGTTGATTTTAACTTTACCTCGAAAGTCAAGAGGGTTGAAGAACGAAATGAGGATACAATTCAAAATACATATTCCAATTAAAATTCCACCTACTTCCAACACTTGATGTCAAACATTCTCACACTGATATGCTTGTGATCTTATAGTTATAATTTGCAGGAGATCAAAAAAAAATTACAATACCTCCTGTCTGATATGTTCAATACAAGAATAATCTTTATTCCATTGACAATCCAATTATATAGGGTGTCATAACTATTGGGGCATAGGCTATGGGCGGATTGATCGCACCAAAATATGGCGATAGGATAAAATATTGCTGTGGAAAATATACAGGGCGTTTCAATCGAAAAAGTATTGACTATAAACTCGCACCAAAATTCATGCACTGACAAAACATGCAATTCACCAGCAACAATTATCTGACAGTTCAAAGTACACTCTTCATAAATGGAATAATATTTGAAATCCCCTTCCGAGACTTTGAATTGTTCAATTGCGTTTTTATCGAAAACGGATGGAAATATCGTTTCGTCAAAAAGTTATCTGTCGATTTCATCATCAGGAACCATTCACGTGGCGCCCCCTGTAAAAAACTGTAGGATAATACATAAAATAATATTTTCTGTATAAAATTATGCCTCTGTGTTGATGTTTGATAACAATTGAATATAGCAAAAACCCAAAATAAACATTCAACTGTATTTTTTTCCACAGCAATATTTTATCAAGGCATATTCGGTCCTATCGCCATATTTTGGTCCAAACAATCCGCCCTCAGCCTGTGTTTCTTATAGTTATGACTCACCCTGTATATTAGATGACATACAATACAGAGTGAAACCCCAACACTTTCCCTATCCTCCCTAGGTATGCACGAAAATTATAGGGCGATCCAAGAGATGGAAGAATATAACTCAGTTACAGGAATGGAAACAAAACATGAAGCGACCGAGGAAGAATATAGGTTCAGCTAACAAAATTTGCCAAGTATTGAAATGTTTTGATAGAGTATAGCATATTATTTATCACAACTCTATTAGGCGCACTTCAGTCCGCCAGACTGAATAATTAACAACAGAATAGTATTGAGAGCAAAAACCAAACCTTCAATTTATCGAGATAAAACCGATTTGGGACAAAAACGGAACGAGCCATTGCCGAAAATGACTCATTTAAAACAACATTTAAATAGGAATCACTTGATATTCGGAAATCCAGAGTAGAAATATTAAGAAATTGTAGGTTTACTAGTGAAAGACAGTGAAGAATTCAGTTATTTCAGAACAAAATCAACAAACCGGGTGTAAACTTAGACAAGGAGTCATAACTCATAGAATATTGGGTGTATAAAATGAGATTTGATTTAGGTATTTGAAATGTCAAGTGGAGAGTTATCGCATATTTTTCATATTTTTACGTTCATTTCCGGTTTCACCTTCAATGGCTCGGGGTTTTGCATTTTTGAGAAAACTCCGGATCAAAATGTAACATCTTCAATATCGCGCAAGAAATTAAGGAAGTCAATAAATTACTACATATTTGGTATTTTCTTCAGTAATACTCAATTCATGTTATCATTTTTAATCCAATCGCAAATGAATTATCGTTAGTATCGTCAGATTCGTCGAAGAATTTGATGAAGGGAAAACTCTTCTCTTCAAATATCATTTAAATACATACCTATACCAAATCTCATTTTGATACACCTGATATATTCTCTAGAAGTTATGACTTGTATAATATATTCGTTGACACCCGGTATATCTTCAGAAAAATGCAAGAAAACTGAAAAAGCAAATAATATCCAAGTAATTTTGAGTGAATTCAGTTTTGAACAAAATTATGAAAAACTTTTGAATTTGAATCAACGAATCACCTATTTAAATTACAAATTGAAAAAGAGTAGTAAAATTGCCATTTATGAGCAAGAGCTATCTAGAAATTCAAAATGTATTGCTAATAAATGGGATGCAAAAAGTTTCATACCTTGCTCCTCTCTCCAACATCATCAATAAAATTTGTTGTTGCGATCGTCCTTCCATTTCTTCTTGGGAAATTGTTAGGTTTGGTTCTTCTCCATAGTTGAACATTTCGCACATGGTCACACCATATGACCACACATCTGATCTTGTTGAAAATTTCCCATCTCTCAAACTTTCAGGAGCATACCTGAAAAAATGCATGAAGAAGATGCTATACAGAGTGTTACAAATTCGCAACCAAGTATGGGGACCTCCGTAGATATAAGTAAACGTTTCGTCTTTAGGCTGCCATTATCAATTTGATTTCTATCGAATAATATTCTGGGGTATTTCAACTCTTTATATGGTATCTTTAGAGCTGCTTTTCTGCTGATTCACTTCCTGTACTACGAGGGTTTCAACAACTCCATTCTTGGACGTTACGGTGCAAATTGTTTATGATAATCAATTGTAAATCAATAAACAAATGAGGATCAGTCGAAATCCTACTGGTCTTGAATTAGTTATATAGTGATGGGTGAAAGTGTGAAACCAAGTGAATATATCGGTAATAGTCTGTAGTAGAGTCCCTGTATATACCTTAGACAAGAGTCCGGACACAAAACTGACAGCCGTTGGGGTTTTTAATATTTTGTTTCATTTGGTTTGCCCACCTGACATTGTGACGAAACACCATAGCAACACCATAGTCGTCCCGCCCGCTTCTTTTAATTATTCCGAATGTCTGTCACTGTCACTTTGAAATTTTATGACCGCCAAAATTTAGCATTTTAAATTATTTCAATGTCCTGCTGCGTACATTTATTGCGATAATTCCTTAGAAAAGGGATTCAAGTTATTTAATTCTCCGAATGATCCTTCAAAGACAATGTCATGGAAGAATGCAATGAAACGTCCATGGAAAATTAATTTCAAGAAATCCGCAATATGTGACGTAAATATTCAAATTTACTTGTGAAAACAGTACAAAAAGGATGAATTTTAGGCCCATTTTGATAGAGATTTTTTCAAGCTGATGGATTTCAAATTGAAAGAGTCTGCTGTGCCGTCAATTTATGAAATAGAGACGCTCAAAAAAAGAGTCCCGTCGTCATCGTATTGGGACTTACTGAATGATACGTTCGCAGAAATAGAAAATGAGAATGAGATGATGCGGAAAGAAATTGAAAGTTTGAAATCAAAACTAGAAGATTTAGGGAAACTGCAATGTGCTATATCATCAGTCCACGGTGTTATTAATTCAGATCAAATTCAAAATGTACAGGTGAATGTAGACTGCAGGAATGAGAGGTGGGAAACACAATTAATAAAGCACTCGCTATCAAATATATTGTTGTTTTGATTTTGTCACTTTTATTTCTGATGAGTGTTATTAAATTGAGAGAATCGGAGAAAATTATATTGAAACAATTATATATCTTCTATTTTTTTATATCCCAACAGAAAACAACTATATTTTCTTGGCTATATGTGATACCACGAAGAACATTTGAATTATCTTTCTTATATCTAATGAAGTGAAGAAATATCTGATGACAAAAATTTGCAATAGCCATCTCAGGAATTGATTATGAAAATTATCGATTCGAAATTTGAACACCCTGTTGTTCATTATTCGAAAATCTAATAGTTATTCTAGTTAAAATAGACCTATTTCTCACTTCTACCTACGGCTATGAACGGTTTGACAAATAATCTAACCCTCAAAAGGGTTTCTGACAATCATTGATACTAGGGGAATTGAGAAGACAGAGCTTGATATATATGTCTTATTCCTTTATTCAATCATCAATGCATTTTTTGAAAACAGAAAAGGACAGAAGTATAGCTGTGTCCGGACTCTTGTCTAAGTTATATACAGGGACTCTAGTCTGTAGGACTCTTTCAAATGTTAGTACAGGGTGATTCCAGAACATAGCAGATTCGAAGATAGTTTCGCCTATGTTGACACGTTTCAAGTTTTAATGAATCCTTGTCATGTTTATTATTTTAAATGGCACACTATACAGGGTGAGTCGTGGTCGATGGTACCTTAGAAGTTTACGGAGAACAAAAATTAGAATCATTCTGAAAATTTGGTTACTCAAGTAGTTGCTCTTGGTCAATCGATCTAAAATATGTTCAGCAATACAGCGTTGCCGCTTATACCAGAAAGTAGTAGCAACTTTGATATTTCAAATGTAATTCCCATTCCCAGAAAAACCGGAAGTCCGCCATATTGGATTGTAATGTGATCAAATCCAAAATGGTTGCTTATATAACTACCAAATTTTAGAAAAATCCGTTTACGAATGCAGAAGTTACAGAAGTTACTGACGAAACTTTTTGAATTCGAAAAAAATATAATCAGAGCCTACTCATAGTATTTGATCAGTCATTTCATTATCTTTTGATTTTTGAATTCGGATAATAATTAATAGCAGCGCTATGGCTTGGGGCGTTTTTTTCATCAGTTAGCCTGTATTCAGCCAACAAAAAGCATTGTGCTCAAACGATGGATGTATGTATAGAAAATATCGGTATCTAGTTCTCAGCTTGTATGTATGTATGTATGTATGATGTATGTGTGTGGGCGGCCCGGGACCTGACGCACTTGGGCATCCCTTTTCAGGCCCATTGTGCACCCACATTCCTGGGATCGCAAGTCAGCCATGGAGAAGGCCAATGTCGCGAGCAAAAGATACCAACTTTCTAGGCCAAATCTTTTTAACATCCATTGGGTCCAGGATACTGCCCCCAAAATTGATATCCCTTGCTGCCACTACTGAATTTTCGTCCGATCATGGCCATCTAGATGCAATATTAAAAGTGACTAAAAAAATGAAGTAGGCGTGAAAACTTTCGAAAATGTCATATTCTGATGCAGAATTGTCCCAGAAATTTCTATTTAAATATTCAAAACCGGAGTCAATGAATGGAACCGGAAGTGACCGCGGAGTGGAAAATATGCAAACACTGTCCTCTTCACATACCCATATAACCAACCATATTGAATCTAATTTTGAAACAGCCAATATTCCAGAATATATTGCTTGTCTAATAGATTCGTTGACACCCGGCATACTTACCGCAATTCATTTATATACACCATCTAACAATTAACTAACAATTCATGGTAATATATGGGGTGTCCAAGATAAGGATGTCCATGGGGTAAAGATGATGATTTCTCTGAAAATCTCTTAACGCTGTTTTGTAGACCTTAAAAAGTGTCAATAAAAGTGTCTTTTGTTTTCCTATATCTCTCTAAATAACGTCAGAAGAAAATAAAAACGATCACCACCATAGACATTCATATCTTGGACACAGTGTATTATCACCATTACTATTATGAAAGAATTCATGATAATATGGTGTAGTAGGAGGAGATGAAATTATAAACAAGAACTCACCATTTAATTGGCAACTCTCTGTTTGGAGTCTTCAGAATGTAGTAGTCATTTGTACCCATTACTTGTGCTAGACCAAAATCGGAAATTTTTACGTGATGTTCATCTACGACTAAAATATTTCTCGCAGCCAAATCTCTGTGAACAATATTCTTTTTCCCCAAATAATCCATTCCCTATAAATCAAATTGATGAGAATCGATATATTTGACTTAATTTATTTCTTGCCTTTACTATATCGAGAGCATATTTCAACAGTTGGGCTTCTTGCAAAGATTCTCTATAAATTTTCAAATAACTCTGTAAAGACCCATGGTGAACAAATTCCATCACCAATGATATTTCAGGTTCTCTCAAGACTCCTAATATTTCCACAATATTTGGATGTTTCAACGACTGAAAAAATGTAATGTAAGTTTTGAAATTCTTATAAATGACACAAAAATTACCTTCATTATGTTAATTTCTCTTTCAAAATCTTGGAGACAAGATGAGACGGCTGAAGATTTCAATTTTTTAACAGCCACTTGACGAGGTTCTTGCTCCTGGCCATCAACACACTCTAAAGTACCTTTATAGACTTCTCCATAGAATCCCTAAAAACCAAATTCATAGTAGATTATAAACACATAATCCCTGAGGGATTAGAAGTACCACTTAAGTCTGGGGTTAAAAGTACCTCTTCATTCCCAGAAGTGTATAAAACAATATCAAGAACCCATTGGGTGGTCAAAAAATTTCGAAAATATTCACCTCGCTACTGGTTTTGTTATTTTTGATTGATTCGAAATTTCTTGACATCACCTGAAAGCTAAACGACTAATTCACTATGAAATTGATGAAAAGTTCCTACTCAGGAAAAACAGAATAGCTGATTATCCCAGTGACCGCCCAGTGATTTACAAAATCTGTTGACGAATCGAACATGATATACAGGGTGATTCACGGTAAGTAAGTGAGTAATTTTATTCAATTCAGATAGATAGCGATACATAATATTGATACATATAGATATTAGACGTAAGAAAACAAGGTTCAGTCAGTATTCCTAGGAAGACGAATAAGGTTTAGGCTACCTAAGCGAGCTTGTACTGTATAGCCAGCAACCAAAACAGTAATCCTAAAAGAGTAAGTGTGCTACAATGTTATGAATAAAGCAAAGAATTGTCAACTGATTATAATAATAGATCATACATTATTTTTATACTGAGAGAGAGAGAGAGAGGGAGAGATAGAAAGGAAGGGAGAGAAAGAAGAGAGTAGAAAAGTATGAGAGAAAAAGAAAGGAAAAGTGTTTCAAGCAGAATGAAAGAGAATCGTAACTCAGGATTATTCTGAAAAGTTGGTGCCTTGGATAATTAGTTGTGTTCTATCGACCTGAAATATACTCAGCGTAGCGACGTTGCCGCTTATATTGAAAAATAGCAACAACTTTGATTTTTTCAATGTGATCTATCACACTTGGGGTCTAGCGGGAATGATAACAAAGATATAGGGTGTGAAAAATCGAAATTTTTCAACTTTAAGCATTTTTTGTGTCGAAACTATTCATATCATATTCAACTATATTAACTTGCCATGTACTATCAATTGATATTCAATTGAAATAGATACAGGGTGTTTTTGGATGTATGATAAATTGATATTCATCATACAGGACGTGGAAAGAAATTCTGAATTGTTTTCTGTTGAATATTCAGAATGATATTATGTGCATATCTTTTTATAAATGAGAATGCAAATTCTCAACTTCAGAAGATTTTGTTTTAAAATTCTTATTGTGTGTGTTCAATGTTCGTCGTGGCATATAGCCAGGAAAGTAGTTGTTTTCTGTTGAATAAACCGAGAAAGAATTATTATTTTCATCACATGGAGAATACGAATTCATCCTCATTACTTTCTCTGATCGATTTCAATGTACCACGGACTGTGTCAAGATCAGATATTACATTCGGCATTGCTGTGCCTAACACACAACATCACTTCCATTGTCCCCTCACAACAATGTGCCGAAGTTACAACAATTCGCTAAGTATTAATATATTCTTTTTCTCGTCTCAATTCAAGCATAAACTATCAAGTGCCTTGAGAAACTAGTTTCACATATCTATGTTAATTCATATTCTTTCCAAGTCATGTATAGATATAGGTATATATTTTTAGCGGTCAAACTAATATCTATGAATTAATAAATACACCTGTACAATGGCGTTAGCCTGCTGGATGTATTAATATTAAATACATAAATAAATATATCATTCAATAAAACATATACCTGTCCAATTCTCCCTTGTAGAACAACATTATAATTTCCATCTAGTTCGAAAACACTCTGCATAGAATTCAAACTATCGAGTGATGTTGTAGCAGTAGAAATATTGAAATTAGAGAAAATGTGTGACCAATCATAGAAGCTCGATTCCTCAAGATTCACAAGGTCTTGGGCTTCCATCAACCAATGTTGAGATCCAACTTCTGAAAGGCTCGATTTATCAGAAAGTTCACTGGCTCCGACTAAATCATCTGAGTAGACAGCTGTAGTATCTAAAATTCAAATAACTTATTCAAGGTTTATAGTAAGGCCTAAAATGTGCAATGCTAATCGCAAAACATCTGTTAACCAAGAGCAGTTTCATGACTATCATTCATATCGGAGGATTGGTCCAACATGACAGTCAGAAACGCAATGCCATGGGCGTTCGTTATCGAAAGTGAAAAAAGGTGATTATTTTAATAATAGAACTAGATTGTCTTTCTCGGCGAAAATGGTTCATGTGGTGAGTAGTCAAATATCCATAATTTTAGTATCTTTCGTCGCCACTGAATTTTGTTCTCAGATGTAAACAGAGATCTTAATTACTGACTGAGTATGGTGCGGACGTTTTCGGATGGCGAGGTTTTTTTCATCTCTTGGAGCGCACGAAAGGAGTCCCTCGTGGGACTCGACCTATAGTTTTTTCCACTCGTTTCTGATTATACATAGTGTAATTTGGGCTGGACAGACATCTTGTTGGTGGTTTACATATCACAATCTAACGCTCTGTACATGGTCATCGATGGCCGATAAAATGATCTATGAATAATTTATAGATTGAAATTACTCACTATCTGTCAGAAGATATTTAGAGAAAACTTTCACTTTCCAAGGGAATTCACGGCTAGCTATCATTCCATCACTAGCAATACCAGTCAGACGAACTCGACAAGCTCAGTCAGTACATCCTTTTGTCGTCAACCTCGAGATACTGTCGAACAACTCTTCATCAACACTCGTTGTCTAAAGAAAGGCAAAGCTTTGAAGTTCTTTCTCAGGTATTCCCAAGAACTTATAATCAAAGATCTAGAAAAATATCAATACCTATCTTCTCTTCCTATTTTCCATAAGTACGCACGATATTCCTCGAACATAATAGGTATTCCCTTTCGTGCGCTCCAAAAGAAAAATGATTATTTATAACTGACTTTAGTTGTATTATTTCGTCCTGAATCCTGTGACTGAACTGATCAAAGTGAAACTGAACGTAGTGAAACAGCTTTTATATGATTGATTCAGTTTTTTTTTTCATGTGACAGGAAAAACGACGATTTCGAAGTTTTTTCTAACTTCTAGCGACAATGAGACCTGCGATGCAGATATCTTTGTTTCTATGAAAACCTTTTGAAGTAATCAAATATCTGTCAATTAGATTCTGTGATAACATTTAAAAAAATGCCAATTTAGTGATTGTTCAGTGATTTACGAAACCGCGAAGTGAAATGGACGATAAAAAGGACTTGCAGTTCCTTCTCGGAGACGGTGTTATCGGCTTATTTTTCGAAACTGGCAACAACAAAAGCCATCAACAGTGTATACCGGATGTAACAGGATCACGGTACACCAAACCATTTTCATGAACTCAATTTGGTGATAAATCAAGAAATTCGACATTTTTGACAGGATTACATTTTTTCACCTTTACTCCTGTCGATATGAGTACATCAGACTCGATCGGAATAGTCCTGGCACACTCATGGGAAATCAAAACTGAAATTAAAATCAATATTGAAGTTTCAAATATCACTTATGTGGTATCATTGGATTCAGAAAACAATGCAGAATTCGAAAATTCAATGATATACAGGGTGTTCCATTTCAAAATCAAAAGTGATTATCACTTCCAAACATATTTATGTAAAAACATGACGTTCATCAAGTTGATTGGTCATTCCAAATTTCAATCACTTATCTCCTAAACTGAAGGAGAGAAACGGGGTGTACCATGATCCTGTTACACTCGGTATGGGAAAAAATGATATCATTAAAAGTGAAATTTTGCAACCCGTCAACAGACATGAACTGTCAAACTTCTTTCCCGTCACAGAAGAATAGTTATTCATTATAAAAGCGGAAAAGTATTAGCTTTTGGCTCGAGGTTGTGTTGTCCCCCGACGCGTAGCGGAGAAATCTCATATTTTTCCCGTGTATGATACACTATTATTTTCTGTGGTAGAAAAAACGACGATTCAATATTGAGAAGATATTACATTATAATTAAATCAAAGAATTATCGATGTGAAATTTGAAGTGTTCAAATATTGCAGGCATCGTTTAGTAGGCATCTTTATTGTTGCTATGGAAACCTTTTGAAGTAATCGAATATCTGTCAATGTGATTCTGTGTTTTGATTTGAAAAAATTGCGAGCTTTGGTTTTTTAGTAATTCACGTAACCGCGAAGTGGAATGGAAGATAAAAAGGAGTTTCAGTGCTTTCTCGGAGACGTTGTTATTGGCTTATTTTTCTATCTACTTTGATGGCATGTGGAACATATTATTTCCTCTCTAAATGTTAGAAAAACAGTTTTGTGAAGTTTTTTGTTGAGAATTCCATCATTTTGTGTGCACCCAATGTCAGTGTCAACTTTGATTACCAATTTCATTCAAATTACATTGCAGAGAAAGTACACCTTTGCTATCTGTTAAGTGTCATAGAGAAGCCACTTTTTATGCCGTTTGGTAAAAAAACACATTTTTCTGCAACCGACACAAAAGTTGTCTACTAGGTCAAACAACATTGTTATGGTTGGTTATTTCGTTTGGGACGCATACCTGATTTGTTCCCGATTTTGGCAGATTTGGCATATCATACCCATGCTGAAGATGATAAAACACCTTATTATAGTTACGTATTTTTGTTTTGATCAGGAAAGTCTTCAAGATTCACATACTTGCTTGATCTGTATTTCATTCGTTATTCTCGGGATCCTAATAAAACAATCTACTATTTGTTTTACTAATGGCTCACTGTTCATTTCTGTTTTCGAAAACGTCTGCACTATAATAACTATTTATGTATTATTAATCCACAAAATAATACCTGTATTGTTGGAACATAAACTATTCACTGAAGATCCAGCTACATTCTGTAAAGCACTAGATTTATTAAAGACTTTGGCATAAGAATGAGTCCTTCTGGAATTATAAACTGAAAAAAATATATATAATCAGCAGTTTAATAAACTTGTTGAATGGATTCTAAGTGCCAGGATAGTCGTTCAGTCTTGGTTACCTATTGATAGATAGAGGTTCACATTTTAGAATTTGATTATTATTGCATATGAATTCTGTTAACACTTGCTCAATACTCTACAACACCCAACCAAGACTTGAAAGGCTTGCCACAACAGCATGAAAAAAATCAAGACAGATTAACTCAATTATTGTTGAATCAATTTTACCTTGATACAATATTTGGTTGATGTCACGCATAATGGCTTGAGGTTTCTTCCTTTTGTGAGGATCCATATCCCAACATTCTCTCATCAGACTATAAATTTCTTTTGCACAAGAATTAGGCTGAGGTAATCTTTTCCCACTCAGGTACCACTATAAAAGCAACATGATTATAATATTACCAGTCCATGCATAAATGCTTACCCTTCTAGCTTGAACATGGTCTGTATGTTTAATTTCTTCCCCGTACATGAATATCTCCCACAAAGTAGTTGCGAATGACCAAACATCAGCTTCAATTGATCGTTTTGCATAGTCCAAGTTTGCGTAACATTCAACTGGTATCCAATGCACCCTATATATCAAATTAATACATTATACAGTGCTTTCGTAAAGTATTGAATAAATTCATTTTTAACCAAACTATTCATTTCTGAGGTATCTCCTGAAACAGGTTGGTTTTCAATCTCATTTTACCACATTTATAAGGAAAAACTGATATACAGTGTGATCCGACCAAGTTTGAGTTATGACGTCCGTGGCAATTTTGACAAATGAAACAACATATATAGAGAGTGTCTGATAATTAATGGATCAAAAGAAGTGGAGTGATAGGGGGGAGGGGGTTATTTCCAATCAAACTAACTGTATACAGGGCCAGATTAAGACCACTTGGCGCACAAGAAACAATATATTTTTTCGTCCCCTACACATACAACTAGACAAGCAGATCATTTTCTGTCAAGAAAATTGAATCAGATATTGGTAAAAAATTCATCTATCACAATGGAATGATACAATACAATTCACTACCAAATAACTTGAAGCTGATTAATAGGATTGAAAAATTTTAAAAAGAATTCAAGAAACATCTTTTGAATTCAGATATAACACAAAGAACTTGATGACAAGAGTATGATTGAGAAATATTCAATATTTATTGTCAAAGTCAGAATAAAACATAAAAACATCAGACTACAGAGTGTTACATATACAATGTAGATTTATGCAAGTATAGAATGTAGCACTGCTATTCAACACTTTCCCTCAGTGCAGATTCTCCATGAAATTCGAACAAAACTTATTCATTAAATCTCTGCTAAGTGGTTTAGTCAACATATCAGCCATATTCTCTTTTGTATTAACATAGGTTATATCCACTTCTTGTTCCAATATCCTTTCCCTAACATAATGATAATGGACATCAATATGTTTACTCCTTTGATGAAGAACAGGGTTTTCCGATATATGAATGGCAGCTTGATTGTCACAAAATAAAAGTGCGCGAGTATTGATGCCCTTCAAGTCCCTCATGATATAAGTCATCCAAATAGCTTGTCTGCAGGCAGCTGATAAAGCCATATACTCTGCCTCTGTTGTAGACACTGCAACACATTGTTGTTTTTTGGTAGACCAAGAAACTAGAGCTTCTCCATAGAATCCGGCATATCCACTATATGATCTTCTGTCATCGAGGCAATTCGCATATGATGCATCACTGAACATTGATATTTTTGGGGAATGTGTACTCTTGTAGATGAGTTTTCTCGTCAGGGTACCTTTCAAATAACGGAAGATATGCTGAACCATATTCTGGTGAACTGAAGATGGATCCACACAAAATTGTGAGAGAACATTAACTGAATAAGTTATATCGGGTCTAGTTCCCATCGAAAGGTATAGCAAACTTCCAATCTTTGATTGATATAATTCTTTATCAGTTCTTGGCTCTACTGGTGTAGCTTTACTTGGTCTAGCACCAATATCCATCGGGGTGTACAAGGCATTACAATTAGACATATTATATTTCTCGAGAATTTTGTTAATGTAGTGCTCTTGAGAAATTGTAATGTGGTTTTCGAACCACTCGATATGAATTGATAAGAGGTATGTTGGTAATCCAAGCACGGTAACATCGAAGTTATTTTTCAAGACGTTTTCAATCGCATCTAACTTATCCTTGGTTCTTGAGAGAATCAGCAGATCGTCAACATATATGGCTACGATTTGATCGCGATCATCGGAAACGAAAAGACATGGATCTGCATTGGATTGTCTCAACTCAATGTCTCTGAAGACTTTCACCAACCTGGAGGTCCATTGACGTGGAGACTGTTTCAATCCATATATGCTCCTTTTCAAGCAACATACTTTCCCTGGTTCAGGTTTCAAGCCTTCTGGAATCCTCATATATATTTTGAAATCCAACTCACCATTTAGAAAAGCCGTTTTTATGTCTAATTGTCTCGCTAACATGAATAGCATGTGCAAGGAGTATTCGAATTGTTTCGTATCTTACAACTGGAGCAAAAGTTTCTTCAAAGTTAACGCCCGGTCTCTGACTGAAGCCCTGTGCAACTAATCTTGCCTTGTATTTTGGAACTTTTGCTGTATCTGACCATTTTTTCTTGAAAATCCAACGACAACCTACTGCTTTAGCTTCTGGTGGTATGGAAACTATGTCCCAAACATTGTTTTTTCGCATGGATTCAAGTTCTTCATCAATTGCAAGTTTCCAATTTTCAGATTCATTACAAGAAATCGCATCCTGGTAAGAAAGTGGTTCATCAATGGATAGTTTACAGAATTCTTTTATATAACGATTAGGTGGTCTTCTTTCTCGGCTAGTTCGCCTGATAGGTTTGGAAGTTGATGGTTGCCTGTCCAACAATTCTTCCTCTGCTTCTTCTGCATTTTCTTTCATTTCCTTCTTCCTGGTTACAGCATGTTCACTCTCTCTTAGTCCTGAATCATCATATTTATTGTCTCTTTCAACTTCTGAATCATGTTCATTTCCGATTGCAGATTGTTCATTTCTTCTCTGTGGAGGAATGTGGATGAAATCTTCTTCAGGAGCAAATTTAAAATCTCTGGATACGACAACTCTACTACCATTCCAAAATCGGTACCAACCCAATCTGTCGCTGTAGCCGACCATTGCAGCATCCATTCCTCGAGGACATAATTTACTACCAGGTTTCTGAGCTTCTAGGGGAATGTGAATATACGCTTTTTGACCAAAGTACCGCAAGTGCCCTATTGTTGTTTTTTTTCCATAAAACAATTCAAAAGGTGATTTTTTATTGAAAGTGTGGGGTATGCGATTCTTTGTGTATACAGCGTGTGCAACAGCTTCTGCCCATAATGACTGTGGTAATTCTGAGTCGACGAGACTAGTTCTAGACATCGTTGTGATTGTTCTATTCATTCTTTCTGCTAAACCGTTGGTTTCGTGTATCCTTGGAATTGAATATTCGGTTCTGATTCCAACAGATCTGAAGAAATCTTGCAGAGATTTAGAACAGTATTCACCCCCGTTATCAGATTTGAAAAATTTGATTTTCTTTTCTGTTTGTCTTTCAATTCGTTTGACGAATTCAATCACAGCAGTTTCAACTTCATCCTTGGTTCTGATGAATTTTACTTCAGTGAATCTGGAATATTCATCAATGAAAGTGTTCAAGTAAATCTTTATTATTGGCTTGGGTAAAATTGTATAGAACCATTTATTCAAGTATGAATATTTTTTCGCGCTAAGAAAGCACCTCACTCCAATTATCGCGCATGTTAATTGGTGTCGCCTGCCTGTGCGCAGCAGGACAAAATTTCGCTCTCATTTCGATTTGCTACCATCGTGCTTATCATGTGCTTATCATTATAACCGCTTACAAGTGTCTCCTACCCCGGGGATTTTCAATAAGAGCAATTTGCTAGAAAACCACCTGCTTCAGCTTCATATATTTCTGCCTTACATCATATCCTGACCAGGAACACCGCAGCCAGCCGGCTATTACACCATACCTGCATACACCCCATGGAAATATCAGGTGAGTGCAGTTGCTTTCTCGTATTAAAATCTAATTTTATATGGTCTATGCGATTTGAACCTGCCTAAGAAAATACAGTCCACTCAAATATCGAACATTTTTGGTCCATCGTACCTGGATCTTGTAAAATTGATTTTTCTCTTTTTCCATAACTATCGTCAAACTTTCCGCCATTTTAGATTTTTTTTGCCTATAAACGCTAGTTCCTTGTTCAGTGTTGAAAGGTATCATTTCAAGTTGCGTTCTTCAATACCAATAATAAGGTGGCAGGACCGGCTCAGAGATTTCTGATCGAAACATTTCTTGAATCTTACCTTCTTCATTTCCATATTATTTAACAATAGTAGTACTTGTTATATTCACTGTCGTAATATGTCTGACGCCAATAAAATAAAAAAAGCCAAAGCTCTCAGAACTACTGAAATGTCGCGGTTGAGTGAACTTGTTAAAATTTCTGTGAAAGCTCAAAATGATAACCGTGTACACAGTGAGTTCAAACAACGTTTCAAATTGATAGAGACAATCAATGAAAATTTTATAAAACAACATAATACTCTCATATCTTTACTGGCAGTTACAGACGATGCAGATTTTGCTGCTGAAGATCAAATTCTACTTGAATTTGAAGACAAATATTTTTCTGTCAAGACAATTCATCACGATTTATTCGAAGAAGTTGATGTGAAACATCAGATAACTGATGATTATTTACCCCGTGTCAAACTACCCGAATTAAAACTCTCCAAATTCAATGGTGATATAAAAAATTTCATTTCTTTCATAGATGTCTTCAACGCACTTATACATAATAACACATCTATAACAAAAATTGAAAAATTCTCTCATTTATATGCCGCTCTTGAAGGTCCCGCTAAATCATTGATACAGTGTACTCCTATTACCGCAGATAACTACTTGATTGCATATAATGCTTTAATCGAGCGTTATTCCAATGAGAGAATCCTAGCGACTTCTCACTGGAAAGAAATCGAAAATTGTCCCCGACTTACAACAGAAAACCCACAAATGCTTCGTAATATACTGGATGTTTTTTCCGAAAATTTAGCCGCTCTTGAAAATTTAAAATTTCCCGTCAAACAGTGGGATTTCATCCTAGTACAAATGCTTTTGAAAAGACTCGATTCTGCTTCAATAACCAGATTTGAACTTGAACACAAATCTAATGTCATGCCTACTTATCCCGAATTGCTTGGATTTCTACAAAAACAATGTTTTGCATTGGAAACAATTAATTCTACTTCATCAACACGTCAGAGACCTAAAATTATCTCTCCATCTCAACACGCAAATCGTAATAATTGTAATACTTTTCTCACCAACCATGTTGGTAAATGCAATTTTTGTAATAGCAACGATCATTTGATTTATCGATGTCCTATATTCTTAACCAAGTCGCCAAAAGAACGATATGATACCGCTAAACAGAAAAATTTGTGTACGAATTGTTTAAGCAACTCTCATTTATTCAAGAATTGCAATTCTCAATCTACATGTAGATTTTGTCAAT